GACGGGTGTGGGTCAGTCAGGCCCTGGTCCTTTTGCCAGCCAGTCTTCCATAGGGGGTTTTGTACTAGCGACTCACTAATTTTTTTTCCACGTGGACCCCCATGCAGCCAACAGACAATAACGGCTTGTGGTCACTATTTGTTACGGCTGCTTGAAATTTCACAGCTGACAGATTTCCCCCGTCAGAAAAAACAGGGTGAAAACCGAAACTTTGTATGGGAAAATATTTATGACCGAGTGTCGCAGGGCACCAAGGTGTGCCTGCTCCTTCAAGAGCAGAGACAGCTGAGCTAAGGAGCCCGGAGAGCTAGGCGGGCTCCACAGCTGCACGGTTAACCAGGGTATTAGCTGGCACCTGCACCCGGTCAGCTGACCAGAAGGAAACGGGGGGCCTTGGGCACATATAAGCCCCAGGGCTGGGGCTGGGGCTGGGGCTGGGGCTGGGCTGGTAGGGGTTTAGTTCTCTGTCCGTAGCCAGGGAGAAGGCTCTCTTGCAGAAACCCTGTTCAGAGATGTGTGGTTGCCTGTGTTGCTGCTGGTAAGACTCATGGGTTGTAGGAGCTCCTGAAGTATCTGGGGCTAGGAGGCACATATTGCTGAGAGAGAAGGGGCAGAGTGTGACTCCCACAATGTTGTTGTTGTTACGTTATAGCCTCGTATTTTCATTGTTATTTGATCCGGCGGCCTGGGATGAGGCTATTTGGGGAGGAGGAGGCCTCATTAAGGCTGCAGTGAGCCCAGTGCCAGCAAGAGCACAGAAACAGGGCTGCAGGGACCCCAGTGCCGGAGAGGGTGCAGAGACAGGGCTGCAGGGACCCTAGCACCGTAGGATACTGCTACAGGGGGCAAAGAGTCCCCAGCGCCAGAGGATGCCACTAGGGGGGCCAAGGGCCCAGCGATGACAGGAGGCCGAACTAGACTGCAGCCTCATCAAAAGAGGCAATGTTTAAATACAATCTGTGAGGCATGGGGCGTGAAAAAGGGGCGGTTTTGGAGCCACACATCTAGCCCGTAAGGCTTAGGGTGTCTTGGGAGGCACTGACTTTGAGTGAGACCCAGCAAGGGATCCAAAATCATCAGGGTCTAGTGGGGTTCAGCAGGACCGTGACTATGCAAACTCATGGGCAGCCTCCGAGCTTATTATTTCAACCAACAAGACGTGGCAGGAGAGACTAGAAGGTGCCCACAGGACGAAGCGGCACGATCACAGAGTCCTGGGGTCATCATGGCCACCCCTGAGGACCCCATGCCGAGACACCGAGTATTTATTTGTATTTACTCTGTGGAAAAGCTGAATGAAAATGTTCATTTCAGTTTGAGGTTACAACTTGGAATGAGTCATTTCAATTCAGTCTGTCAATTCAAATGAATTTTCTGAATTGACATTTCAAATTGAAATGTCTCTTTCTATGAAAGATTTAATATTTGGGATGGCGTTGAAACATGCAGGCTTCCGGTGAGATGGAAAATGAGTTTTCCTGTGAGCCCTACTGTTACTTGATTTTTAACTTTTTATTTTCCAGTACCTTTATATTTCAAGCTCATTAGAGAGGAAGGAGGATTTAGAGACACGTGGCCTTGGAACAAACCACTAGACTGGGGCTCAGGAGGTCTGGGGTCTACCTGAGCCGGTGTGACAGCTGTGTCTTTTCCTCTCTGGGCCTTGGTTTCCCCACTGGAAAAAGATGACAATAACCCTTCCTTTCTCCTACTCTTTCCTTATCTGCTTTGATCTGCATTTCTTCAGAGCACAGATTGTTCTTTACCTGGTGCATGTACATCCCTTAGCTCAGCGGGCCCTGATCCCAGTCGGAGTGCCCAAATGTTACTGCCATAAGCAATAATAGTCTAGAATCATCGTTGTGTGATATCTGATCTCATGTCTGACCATTCGTTTTCCTGACCTACCCATCTCCTGAGCCTCCCAGTCTCCACTTTTGGTTGTCATTCTTTGTCTAAAAAAATTGCTTCTTTCCTCCACAACCGTTCAGCTGTGCAGATTTACTGCCTCTCACCCTACCCTGCTCATCTTCTCTCTGCTCTACTCCTTTGCTCTGCTATTGAAATTTCTCCTGCTTCCCCCACTCCATGCCTTCTACCACTTTTTTCCTCCTTCACATCTCTCAGCTTGTCTCCAGAGAATGGGACCCTTGGCTGTAGGCTAATGAAGGTGACTCAGTCCATGTGTGTGGGCAGCTGTTGACTAAGAAGAGGCTGGGCTAGTAATGGTTGTGACAAAATCTGCAAATGAGATAAAATACAGGAAAATACAAAAAAAGCATGACAGCCCAAACTGGTGGGAGGGGAGATCGTATCTCTCAGCAACAGCAAAATTGACACCAGGGACATTTTCCATTCCCACCCACTGAGATCCCTCCATATGTCCAGAACATGGTCTCTAGGGGTGACCTGCTTTGAGAAAAGGAAGACAGCTTTGATTCCTCCTTTGTGGTAGGTTGAAAATAGTTCCTAGCAATGTTTTTTTGGTTTTGACCCTAAGACACAAGACTTTGCTCTGCCTGGTTTTTGTTAGAGGTGACCTTGGAGGACCCAGGGATGCGGACGACGAGTTCCTGGGAGAAGGTCAGTACTTTGGTTATGCACCATATAAGCCTTCCATCGCTCCAGAGCCGTGAGCAGCTTCGTGCGCATTAAAGTCTATGTTGCCTTGTCTGTACTAGTCTTTTGGAACAGGTTGATTAGTATTTATTTGCCAATCTATTCTATATCTATATCCTAGTCTGGACAAAAGCACAAATGGGGTATTGTCCTCTCAGCCCTGAAGTGAAGGAGAAGGCATAGGGAAAGGGTTACAAAAGAGCTCTTCTTCCTGCCATTTATTCAGGCTTTAGAAGTTAATAGATATTAACAAGAACCAAGGAACCAACAGGCAGAATAATGACCACTTGCCACTCAGTTAAATAAGGTTCACTTCCATGGTATCTGCCTAACCTGGGGCAAAAGGTGTGTTGTGGGGGTGGGGTAGCTCATCTCCTCTGATGAACAGTTTTTAGGAGTCTGGTGTGCATTCAGCCCACTGCCTTTAGCATGATTTAATATGGTCAAGTTAAATCCAAAAGAGAGCCCAGGCTTTAACCAGTTTAACCTGGGTTAAAGTCTATGCTCCCGTTTCTATACTCAACCTCTCTAACACGTTAGCCCGGGCACAAGTAAACAGCAGCCGCAGGAGTGACTGCAATGTAGTGTAGACATGCCAGGGCTAGCGTTAAACCAGCCAGCCTGGGTACCAGTAGCTCAGCATGAAGCAGTTTACCTTGCTGAGAAGCAGCGTGAATAAGCCCAGGCTAAACGGCAGGTTTCTGTGACAAAGACTGCTTCTGGCCCCTGCGCTAGCTCTCGTAATGCTAACTCGGCTGTCTCTGAGTGACGCCGCAGATGCTGGTGTCATTGTTACGCCCTTAGAGCAGTCCACCATTGCACCTTTGCAATCTAGGCTGTGCCAGGCCTACAATCTCCTAGTCGCTTGGAACTATTGCAAGAAAAGGAAGGTACCTCCGGCCCTGAATTCTAATGAAAAAAAACCCCAGTAGATCCACCCGCAGTTTTCAAAGGGCCAGGGCAGCACGTATGATATTGAAACCAAAGAGGTTGTTAATAAAAGCAGGAATCGACTCTAGCTGTTCATACAGGTGCTAGGTCAAGCGCATGCTTAAGTCTAAGCCCATGCTTGAGTGCTGTGCCTAACTGGCGCTGGGAAGCCGTCTCCAAGGTCTACTGAAGTCAGTGGAGTCTGTCCAGTGATTTCAATGGACTTTGGATTAGGCCTGTATCTTTAGATTCCTACAGTCAGTGGACAACAGTAATACTAGCTCCTTGCTTCCAGTCAGGCTTTGTGCTTGAGCAAGGGCTACTCAGAGGAGTAAAGTCTTTATAGTATTAATATACTAGTGAGAAGGGAAGCGTGGGCAGAAGTTACTTAATAAGATATTGATATCACATGTACTTATCTTGCTTACTGTTATCTTTAAAATATCTTCAAAAATATGTATTTAAGTGCATGTATCGCTACCATCTCTTCTAGCTAACCATTGCTATGTAAACAAAGAAGCTGCCTGCTACTGATTTTTGGATTTGGGTCTTAATTTGCAATTTCCTTTAATACCGACTCATTTTTCAGATTGCTATCAGCCATGTAGCATCTCCTGAGCTGCAATAGGAAATGAGCTATTTGAGAATGGCAGCTAATTGAAGAAGATATTTGTGGGGAGACATATCAGTTCAACAACGAGGTGGGGGTGGGGAATCCAGGAAGAAATGGGCTTTTAGCCTGATGGTTGCCTGTCTCTTAAGGTAAGAATAATTTTATAAAAGGCAGATATAGAGGGAAGGTGACTGGACTTCTTGAAACCCGTTTAGTTGAGTGACACTTGGAATTTCTATTCTTGCAACAAAATACTTGACTCTAATTGTGGTTGGGGTGGAATTCCTTGGATCAGTCGATCTGAGCTATCTATCGATGGTATTTCTAAGACGGCTGAGCATTATGATATGGAAGTACTGGACATAGACAGTCATATACTGTATGTAGATATTTGCCATTTGTCGTTATACATAAACTTTTATTTAATGTAATTATTTAAAAATGTTTGTCAACAGCTCAAAGCACCTTTACAACATTTAAGGTGCAGCATGTAAAGATTT